GCCCCCCCCCCCCCCCCCCCCGCCACAAGACAGACACAGTCAGTCCCCCCAACCCCCCCAAACCCCTGCACCAATCTTCTTGAAACTTGGCAGGCTTCCTCCTCTCTGTCTAGCACCCCTGAAAATTTCATCCAAATCGGACAAAAAACAACAAAGTTATAGATATTTTATTGTTTCCCCATTATACCCTATCGTCGGATCTCCGAGGCAGCTCCAAAGCTCTTCGAAAGCTCCAAACCGCTTTGGGAAGCCTAACGAGGCCAGCGCTTTGACCCGGATGTGCTGCTTCGGACCCCAAAGCGTCCAAAGCTTCTCTGGATCCGAAGCCTCGCACAGCCCTACTGATTCCCAGCCCTGAGCTGGTTTCCCTCCCTCCCGATCTCTTCAGCCGGTCCCAATTCTCTTACTGTCCCTGCATTACCAGTTCCCATTCCCAGTCTCCTTTTTCAGCTATTCCCAGTCTTCCTCCAGATTTCTGTCCAATTCCAGTCACCCCTCAAGTCAGTACTGTCTTCAGTTTCCATCTCTGGCTTATGGTCCTAATATATTTGCCCAGCCTTTCCCTATTGTCCCCACTCATTTCCCACTCCCTGTCTCCTTGTCCAGTCAGTCCAAGCTTCCTCTTTTCCACAAAGTTTGACAGTCACAGCCCCCACTAAAAGGTTGAAAGCTTTAGTTTATGTACCAGTGACTGAACTCAGAGGCCAGGTGATTTATCTAACATGATGAACCTCTCTATAGAAAAGTCATGTAGAATTTAATAGGGATTGGACCTACAGGGATCTATAGAAATGTAGCTGCTTTAACAAAGATCTTTGCTACAGGTTTTGAGCCTGACCATAGAATTTCCCAGAGATGATTTTTTATTAAGTTTCAGAGTAGAGGTCAAAAAGCTAAGATATAAATAAGTTTTCATTTACTTTCACATTCTGTCCTGTAGGACTGTTCTATGTGGCCTGGGACACAGGAGTGCTGGATGACAGCTGCAGTGGACACACGGCTTAACAGGACTCACCTGAGTGAGCAAGGACTCCTGGCGCTGGGGAGATGGAATATCATATACATAGCTTTGAATATTTGATGCTGAGGCCTGAGATACTCTGGGAAGAGTCAACAGGTGCTTGAGGGGAAAAAAGACAGTAATGAGAAAACTGCAATGAGCTAAAGTGTAGGACAAGCCAAACAGACTATTGTTAGAATTACTTTGCTGATATTTGTTTAACACCTTTTACTGCTCTATAAGTAAAAACCTTCCTCATTCACTGGTCCTAACAGACAGCTCACTGTCTGTCTGCTAAAAACCCAGAGTATACTTACCTGTAACACCCTTTTACCAGTGTTTCTACTCTAGTTATGGATTGTCACAAGGCTAGAGGTAAATTGCCACTCATTAGAGAAAATTTCTAGCGCATCCATCCCGCTCTAGGCACCTGCTGCATCTTTTGGTTCTCCAAAAACAGACTGAAAAGAGGTAAGAAAAAAATTGCCAGAAACATTATTTTAAGAGCCATGGGCCAAGGACTTCAGCCATGATTAGAGGACGGAAGATGTTTAGCTAAGATGCCACCAGAATACAAACTATTGGAAAGAGCCTTTTGTTTTCAAAACTGCTCTAAATTTTGTCCGTTTAGCAGTGAAGTGAATATAGGTCTCCAGAGCTAGTCTATAAACTGGTATTTTCAAAACCAAACAGCTGGCCTGAAAACGCTTCCCCTGGGAGAGAACACTCTCCACTACATTAGTTGGCAGAGCCACCGCATTCAGGGAAGTGACTCATGTCAGAGTGGAGAAGCACAAGACTCCAAGCTGATTTCTACATGTTGAATTTTAAAGACCTGAAGAACTGAAACACTGGCTCCTTGTAAAGAAGGGAAATTAATAAATTCACACAAATCCCTACATCATTCTGAAGAAGGAATATTTCTCTTATCAAAGCATCTACAGAACGATGAAAGAACAAGCTTTGTTTTTTTGCAGACAGTAGATCAAATGTAAGTGGCAGCGGGATAAACCGATACCTGCTACAGAGGACAAGCCCCTTAGTATATTTGCAGGGTCAGGTAGGCTATGAGAAATGTCTTAAATCTTTATTGGATACCAGGTAAGGTCCTTTAGAACATGAGTGAAAGGCCAGTAGGTTTTTTTGTTTTTATTTTTCAGATGGACTTAGTTTTCTTCAGTCAGGATCCCTCAAAGACTTGACAGTAGCTTCACCCAGTTGCTCACAGAACAGCTGAGTATGTCACGGGCTATCCCAGTTGTCTTATAGCAGCTACATGGAGTGATCTAAGGCACTCTTATGTGTATTCCTGCACTCAGATGGGCTGTTCACCTTCTACGCCCTGAAATGTGTCCGCATATGCCTGCCTGGCTGCTGACTGCTAGAGTACAGTTGTTTTTTTGCAGTAACAACTGCTACCTTGTGCAAGATGCAGCTGAGACAAACCTGGAAGTCTAAAGATTAAAAAGACATTAATTATTTTAAAGTATTGTTTCCTTCACCCACTGAAGAAAAGTTAAAGCTGCAAGGCAGAAACATTGCAAAAGATACTTAAACCTAACAGGTATCTGAAGGGACCAGTATAAACTCAGAGAGAGGCACAGGCTAGGTCAGAGAAAGTGAGAGGGAGAGAAATGCCAAAGCCTACATTTTATTTTTCCTTCTAATTCAGTGAAGAATAAGCATGTGGCAACTTCAGGGCTTGACTTCTTCAATGTTGAGGGCTTGATTTCACATGCAAATGTTCATGTGATATCATGCTGAATGTCATTATGCAGGTGTGCAGATCAGACCGTGGCAGATACCAAAAAAAAATAAAAATGGATTGAATTCTTTGGCATGAGTAACCCAGTTTGATCTTGCAATCATGATCATTATACATAGACGTTAGCACCACAGTTGCAGTTTTTAAAGTATGGGCAGTCGTCTTCAGATACACTTCCGATATTTTGTTTTCCAGCATGTATTTACAAGCAGCACACATCAATATATCCTGCCTACTGATGCAAAAGTAGGAAAGATGGCTAAAAGAGGTGAGTAGAGAGAAAGGATTGCTCAGAGCAAAGGGTAAGTTGAATCTCTTATGTTGAATCTCTTTGGGACTGCCTTAATATTCTCTACTTCAAAGTCATTTAACATTTATAGGATAAACTTCCTTTGGAAAATGGTTTGTGTGGGAAACCCAAAACCAGGCCCCAGAGACAAAACAAAGTAAATAGAATGCCACAACTTGTTCCGATAAATCCCTATAATTAGTGCTCATTTTTAATTATGAAGATTTCCCAGGTAATTATTTCTTGTAGGAGGCCCAATTTTCAAACCTACACTTAATACTTTGCCCTTATTTAGTCCATTTGGATAACCAGGTGCTGCTGGGATTACCCAAATTGGAACTGGGCAATTAGGCACTGAAGCATGTTCACACAGGGAATAAGTAACGGAAGAAGGGATCCACTCTGCAAAAGAGGAAAGCTCTCTTAAAAACCAAGGAGAGTAATTTTGAAGTGAATCCTAAAATGAAGAGGGGATTAGTTAAGTTGTTGTCTGAAGGTGCAGTGATTTGATGCTTTCTGAACTTGCTGGAGAGGTGGGATGCGAAGAGTTGTATCTCCACACAAATCACAACTCACCTTCACCACTGTCCAAGCAGATGCCAAGGGCCCATGAACATGAAGGAGACTGTGTGCATAAACTACAAAAGGAGAGAACTGAGGATGTAACTATACTAACTTCAGAAATTCTTTGTACGTATTTATCAGGACTGGGCATCACTTTCATACTCTATTCAAAGCAGCTATTCTTCTGTTCCTGTCCTAAATGGTAAAGCTTCATACCATCACACAGAGACAGCTGCATTTCAGTAGGGTGTTAGGGGATAACCATAGGAATATTTTATAGGAATGTGTTTCAGATAACATTACTGAAGTTGACTAACCTAACCATCACTTGGTCGAGTGACTTTGTGGAAACTTCAGCTGCAGTGCTCAGGTCCCAAAGAGTTTGCTGAAAAATTAAAAGCCACCAGTATTTTCTCTCCTGAGTATTTTCAAACATTTGGCACCTTAATGCCTGCTTATATGCTTACCTGATTTGTTAAGATGTGGCTCTTTTCACTGAATAATTGTGCAGACAAAGCTGGCACCTGATACATTTCTTGAGTGGGCAGAGACAAAACAGTAGGAGATGGCTTTACCCAACCATCCATCTGTTCGTACACCGACGATGACACGGTAGACTTGGGAGCTTTTGGAACCTGGTAGATGTTTGGCTGATTGGACGGCAATTCCTGGGAGTCATGTTGGCTGGAGGGAGACAGCATGACTTCCTGTAAACCAGCAAGGAGCTGGAGGCGATTAGCGGGTGCCAGGCCCTGTCTTCCATGTAGGGAACATTTCCACCATCCCTCGCTCCCTATGACGTTCTGGTCAAGGACTGTCAGGATGTCTCCTTTGCGGAAGGCCAGTTCATCAGAACACTCTGCCTTGTTGTCATAGAGTGCTTTTGCCAACGTATTCTGGAGAAGGAAAAAACAAAGGGCATATTGCACTGCTTGTATCATGTGGGAATGTCATTTGGAGCTACCAGATTAGCATCCATCTCTGTCTTGCATGCCATACCTCTCAAGCCTGAAGTCATCCAGCTGCTTCTCATGGCACTGCTTTGCACAATAATAAGAGCTGCTGAAAGTCAGAACCTGTTACTGCCTGCCTAACCCTACACTGAAGTAATTATGCTGCCTTGGGTTCGGGAGACAGCTCATATAGGATAGGTGCAGTGTGTTTCAATGCATCTCTTCTGGGGCTGCATTGGGGGGGTATAGACATATCTTATACAACTTGCCTGAAGTTATACAGGAAACGTCTCACCAAGCAAAGCATAGCACCAGCATATCCTGGCATATCTAGTATCTTTAGCACCTTTTAACCACACTCCTCACACATGGTGTTGGAACACCTCGTCTCTTACGGAAGGCCTTAACCACAAGGCCCTCTTCTCTTACTTCTTCACAGATAAGAAACTGAGGAAAGACCTGACTTGGAGTCACACACAAAATACATGATAGAGCAGAGGCTTTATGGAAGACAAGACAGAGGCCCCAAGTCTCAGCTATGCACCATAACAGCTGGATGCTTTTTCCTCTGAGAGTTAAAAATCTACAGCTTTCAGTGAAAGTGGGTTTGCACCTGAACACACTTTATTTTTTAGAATTTTTAACTATTTAGCACCTAACTGATTTTGCTAATGTTAAAAAAAACAAAAATTAAAACAGCCAAAAAAATGTGGCCTTGATCACTTTGGGCATTTCTGTAAAATTCGCCAAAGGGCTAAAAAGAAGAAGCGTGTACGTCTTATTTTCTAAACAAGTGCATGGGTTTTGCTTTCAACTTTAAAAAATAAGATTGATGACTTCCCCATTGAGTATGTTTCAGTCTGAACATAGGAAGAAGAGTTTCTTATTCTACAGTGCAAGGAATCTCCAAAGAGATAATGAGTGATTGCACTGGAAATATGATGCTTTGTATTTTTATCCAGAGCATTTGTTGTAAAACAACAGCTGGCTTGAAGTATTAGGAGAAGAAAATCAATTTGTCAGCTGAGCTGATGAAAGTGGCCTGTTGTTGGTAGCATAAATTTCTTCCTAGGGATGGTCAGGAATAATAGCCTTTTCATTATATGTGGATTTGTTCACACGTACAGCACCAGCAGCTGTCAGAGACAGACAGCAACAGTCCCATCACCTTGCGTCATAGTTGGCTAAAATGCTTTTTTTTTTTGGCTTCCCAAACATCAGTTCCAGATCCAACTTTGACAATACCAAATGCTTTGAACTGCTTGTGTTTAAGTGGGGGTATCTTATCCCACAGGACAATCCCTGTGAGGTGAGGGTCTTAGACATGGTCACAATTCTAAAAAAGAAAGGCCAAATTGTGCCAGTAGAAATAGTAGTCTTCCCCCAGTCTCTCTACATGCCAACTGATTGTGGGACTGCTTTGTATTGCATGCTGTACAAACGTGTGGTAACGGTATCTATCCCTCAGAGCTTGTGATCTAAATAGAAAGAAAAGCCCAAGGAAAACTATTATCCCTCTTTGCAGACAGGCAACAGAGAGATTAAACGACTTATCCAAGGTCACTCAGGAAATCTGTAGCAAGAGGCAGGAAGTGAAGCCCGATGAACATTGTCCCAGTGCTGAGCCTTAACCATGGAAATATCCTTCCTAGTGACAACCATGAAAAAGAGAGGAGAATTTGTTTGAAGTTATGATTGTATAAGACATTTGGATATCAACATATTCCCAGAGAATTCTTTTGTAAGAGAAAATCATGTGAAGACTATTATGCCTGCTTCAGTGGTTGTTACACACTCCCACCCCCTCCCCACCCAGCGAATACTTGAGGACTTGGAGATTTCAGTGATTTCAAAAGAGCTGGACTCGAGTCTAAACTTGGTCCGTGTATTACAATGGGACTTTATGCAAACGAGGACTGTAGGCTTTGGCCCAAGATAGATAAAACCATAAGGTACCCTGCACATTAGCCATGCTTCAATGACATCCAAACATTGCAGCAAGCATTCCTGGGGGAAAGTATTCCAAGTATTTCCTAATCTCCTTTTCTAGGGGTAGCCAGGTCTGCTTCTGCTGCAAATGAATAGGGAAGACAATCCCACTGTCTCAGTGTAATCAGTACAGGGTTTATTCCTGCATTTTAAGGTCATTCTATATCAAAAAGTGTTACAGGAAAATTCTCTTGGAGCTGGATCAGCAAACGGCACTTCTGGCAGATCATCATCAAAGTCCAGCAATATTCAAGAGCACACCAAATTGAATTTGAAGCTTAGCACAGGTGAGGTCTTGTGCTCTTAAATGTAGGAGTGAATTCTGTTTGATGCACAGGCATGCATTCCATTGGCTTTGTACATAAAAGCTATACAAAGACCCATGGGCCAAGAAGCTCAGAGTGCGAGACAAATTCACAGTAAGTTGTACTGGTCCAAATTTGCAAAACTGGCCTCTAATTTGGAATGCTTTAGACCCATGTCAAATGGGTTTTAGGTAAATTCAGGGCCCCTTGCTGGAGGCACTTGGAATTTGAGCTCTCTGCCCCACTGTGTGTTACAAATCTGTTGTCCCTGTATACTGACTGATATTCATAAAAATCTCAACTTCGATGAATGCAGGTGGAAGGCCAGAAATCGTTCCATTTGGCAAGGCAGAATAAGTACATTGATCCAGGTCCCTGAGTAGTTCTTGTTTAGTTGACTCATCTTGATGGCTTGAAAATTACATTTTTAGATTTAGATAGGCCTAGACTATGCCACCTTGGGTAATGCCAAATTAAACCCCATGCTTCCAGGCATGTGGTCAGTGACACAGGAATCAGGAGACTATTCTTACTACCATCTGTCCCTTTATTCAGCATCCACATCTGTCCAGGTGGATTACAGAACTTCTTCATATGCCTGTTTTTGGAGCATCAGGGTATTGGCCATGGCTGGAAATACAATTCCAGTCTAGAGAGAGATCCATATAGATAAGTATGATAAATTCTGTGTTCACAGATTTTGTTGCCTGATCTTCCATTGCATGATATCATATGGGTGATACTGGTTTATCATATATTAAAATGAGCTGGGAAACCGGTCTAAGGTTATTCATGAGGCTTGTATTCTTATTTGCATTGGCACTCATATCTGAAGAGATTTGAGCAGTAGGAAGAAACACCCAGGACACAGAACACACTAGATATTTGCACATACTAAACTGCACATACAATTACTGCATAGTAATTTTGTAAGTCAATTGTAAGTCTGAAGTGGTATTGCTTTATGGTAAAATAAATTACAACAGCTACAGCAGTTGTATGTGCTATCAGGGGTAGAGTATTGCAGACGCAAAAATATAGCTATTAAAATACTGTTGCGGTCTTAACCACTTAACACCAACACCCATTATAAATGATAAAGCTTTTTACACTGTGCTGTTTTCTTGTTGTTCCATGCCTTATGTTCTCCCTTGCCTATCTGTTAATACTGTAAATATAGTAATTTTTTCTTCTCATTTCCTTTCAGGTTGTGGTTAGACAGCCTAACATTTGGGTAGTAAGAATAACACTTTGCACTTATGTAGCACCAAAACAGTTCAACAGATAATATTAATATTTATATTGCAATTATACCTGGAAGCCTCAGATCGGGACCAGGAACCAAGTGTGCAACTGTATAATCGGTGCACACTTTGAAAATAATTTCTTAGTGTTAAAAAAATGAAGGGTTTATCTATACCAGGAGTTCCCAAACTGTGGTACACACTCCCCTGGGGGTATGCAAGGCATCTTGGGCTGGGGCAGGAAAGGGTAAGTGAAAGAAATTGTGTAATGGTGGGTTTAATTTTCATTACAATTAATAACTGGTATTTAAAGGGTTAAAATATAAAATGTATGCTGGTAGGGGTATGCCTGCAGGTGGTAAACCTGGAAGGAGGCCCTTGATAAAAATTTGGGAATCTCTAGCCTATGCCATTGCTGTGACTGCAGTGTAGGGACATGCCGGGCTGTGGGTGGCCAGGTTGGGGGATTGCCTCAGGGTTGGGAGAAGCAGCCAAGATTCGAGGGGAGTATGCCATGTCCAGATGTAGGGATGCCAGGAAGCTAGGAGATCTGTTTGGGGAAACCTGTCAGAGATCCAGAGGGTCAGGCAAAGTGCAAGGTCAGGAGGCCAGCCAGGTCAGGTATTCGGATCAAATCAAAGTTGGGTCAGGTATGCAAAGGGTCAGACCAAATTTGGGGTCCACGGGCGAGCTAGATCCACTATTCAAAGAATCCATCAGAGGCAATAGCAGCACAAGCCAAGGGTGCAGAAGTTAAGCCACTTCCTCTTCTGAGTCAGGAGTTGATAGTGGAAGGGGTGAATGGTTAGCTAACCTTGTCCAGCTACTCCAGGACCAGGAAGTGGGTGTGTGGCTAGACCTATATGGAGGGTTCTGGCCTCCTGTGTCCTCCCAGTGCTCTGTGAGGAAGGAGCAGGCTGGGATGAGCAGCCATGCTAGGCAGGCCAAGGCCATGGCCTGACACTTAGAATATACATGCCTGAGATAACATTGATTCAGCTAGAGGAAAGTTATTGATAGCAAGCTAGCTGCAGTAGTTGGAGCTCAGTTTGGGCTAACAACCTGAGAAGTTACCCAGCGGGTGTGTCTACACATTCATTAATGCACCGTAATTATGGGTGCATTAAGTTTAGTATCTGTAATAACTGGTACTAAGTTAATGCACTGTAATAGGTGCTACTGTGCAGTAGCACCATCACACATTTTTTGTGACGCTAATACGCAGTAGACTAATTTTATTGTGCATTAACATGGTTTTTGCTTGCCGCGCTAATGCACAGTAGAATTAGTCTACTGCACATTTAGCATCTTGTGTAGACACTCCCAGACAACACTAAACTTTGTGCCACCTCAGCCAGGTACCTGAACTACTTAGTTTAAAGCTAGGTTGGATGTACCTATGCTGCATTGAAGTTGTAACAGTGAATGCAGTGTAGACATACCTTTAATAGCCTCACTAATTTAAATAATATTAATTTTCCAATAAGCAAAGTGAGGTGCAATGAAACT